TCACTTCAATAATTTATTCCTCCATTTTTAATAAAGAAATAACTTTAATAGCTTCTTTTTATCGATTAAGTTACGTAAATTTCTTTGCTGAAAAGAGTTTTTATCTGTGAAAGAATTGTGAAAGGATATAAATAGTATTCAAGGTCCTTTTCATTTCGACAAAAAAGAAATATTTCAAGTCTGCGTTGCGGGCAAACACGTGAGACGAATTGCTTTTAAAGTTTCTGAAAAGATTCTGCGGTTTATCGACAAAGTCACGCGATTTCGAGGCGTAGATTTGTACATCGGAACGCGAAGAAAATATTGCCATAGGTATACCGAATGGACCAATAAATTTTCGTACTGAATACCATCGCACAAATAGTATTATTACCTTTTGAATGTAAATGGTCTGCAATCGAAATATATTATGTACGAATTGTCTAATTAAAAATCTTTGCTTTATATTTTTCATCAAATGAGTTTTCAACTCACTGAATAATTAATATAATGCAATATCATTCTAATTAATTCTAATTAAAAATATCAAATATTATATCTCTAAAATATATTTAATAAAATAATATATTAATTATAATAATATTCATATAATTTTTCCTATCTATATAATTTTTAGTCACAGTACAAATTATTAATTATTAAATTTTTAGATATAATTAATAAATGCGATGCAATATCACAAAATTCTGGTTAAAAATATTATGTCTAAAATTATGTCTAAAATATATTTAATGAAATAATATTAATTATAATTATAATTATAATTATTAATACATTAATTATAATATTATTAACTTATTCATATCATTCTTTAATAATACAAATTATTATTTTCTGACGAGGAACAGAAAAACTCGAATCGGAAGTGACGTATTGTGTGCAAGTGTGGTTTCGTATGAGTTGTTGCGAAAACATGCGCTTTAAAATGGAAGAATCGGGTGGAGGTCGAACAACGATGATGAACGATGGACCGACGTAACCGGCTGCGACGACAGCGTTTCCGACGACGAGGAGTGCAAAACCGGCCGTGATTATTATCGCACGACCTTCTCCCGCACTTTGCTGCGAGTCATCGACTATTTATGTGTCTAAGAAAGAACGACGTGTTTCGAGAGCAACCGCAGAAACCAGAAAGAACAGACTCGGCTCGTGACATTTGAAGAAGCGAAGGGAAACGGGGCTTCCTATCGCTCACCTCGCTCCTCCTCCCTGGCTCTTCTTCTTATTATTTGGTCTCTTCCGCGAGATAAAGAGACGTCGGGGAAGTTCGACGCGAAGAATGCCCGCGGGATGAAGGCCAAGATATCTCGGAAAGAACTGGACGACCTCTTCGACGAGGTACGCGGTAAGATCGCTCGATACGAGACGCGCCGCGGCATCAGACCCGAAGGGACTTTAATTCGGCCGCGCGCGCGGCCATTTTCCTCGCTTCCTCTTTAACGCGCCCTTCGATTTTTGCGATCGCGCGATTAATTCTTGCGCGCTCGCCATCGTCGCTCGAAGACACGAGGTCGATTGGCATGCCAACAACTCGCCGGCACGTCAAGCATGTTTAATTTTAATGACACGGGGATAACGCGTGACGTTCATGACGTGACTCTTGAGAAAGAACGCTCTGCTAGCTTCTCTTTTGAATATAATAAATATTTCTGTACTCTTGTATATATTTTTGTTTGAGTACTTTTCGATTCTTCTTTTATAATTAATAATTCTCATTAAAATCATTTAAATCAAAATCATGCTCCAATTAAATGTCATATAATGAATTACCAGTGATGAGACACTAATTGAGACGAATTTTAAAAATGGCAGCGTTTTTTCGATGCGTCGGGAAAGCAAATCGTGAAACATGAAACATGACAACATGATCCATCATAGTCTCTGACATTGCAAAACTTCACTTCAAATTATAGCGAAATTTCCAGAACTCCCGATGTGTAGCCGCGAAACCTCAAACAGGAACTCGTCTCAATTGTCCGACTAACGTTACACGTCGCTCTCGATATACGTATATCGTGTCGCGGAAAACTCGCACGCTCTCCTCTGCAAAAATTTCGCGAAGCGTTTAATCCGCGGAAGAACAACATCGCGAATCGACTTACGTAAGTAAGAAGAAATAAAAAGCGGAACTACGTCGCGTACTCGCTGCATTACCGCGATGCAATCAATTTCCGCCGCGTGCTCTCGAGTCGACCGCAACGTGTTCGCGCTGGGATTACATGATAGATAACGGTCGATCTTATCGAATGGTCGGATAGACTGCACTTCAACAGAGTAGAAAGAAAAAAGCACGGTCCATGCCGGTAACGGATCTTTTCCTAGCGACAGTGACGTATAAATGATTGTTATCATGAATGCTATTATTGTAAAAAAGATACTGTAAATTAAATTTCGAAAAATAGTCATATCTCGTTAAATTTATAATATATTTATACGATAAATTTATTGGATTTGGGAATTTTATAGTAAATTGATCTACTTGAGATTATTTACTTTATTAAATAATTATTTAAATTATTAAATTGATTTACTTTAAATTATGTGCATTCCACGTTATATAATATATTACCTTTTTTATGAAATACTACTAATAATTCATATATAGAATTAATAATATTTTGAAAGTTACTTTCTTCGATTCATCTTTTTCATTATAAGAAAGCAACAAAATATTTTAAAGCGGAACTTTAATTAATTGCTCTTATAAATTATAAATTATGTATAAAAGTGCGAACTGAGAGAAAAAAATGCTATTAATGTAAAGTATGAATATAATTGATTCTATAATATAAACAGAGTTATATCATTTCGTGACATCAATACAAACATGCGAATTATACACTTCGTTACAAATAACAGCGTTAAAAGAGTTTTGCTCGCAACATTACGTTTTAGCCGCAGTAAATCGTGATTTAATTAAAGCCTCCGTCTAAATCGCGCCTTTGTTTACGATGAACACGATCGCTCTCCGCACGCGTTCCGCTGCACCGTATCCGGTAGCCGATCTCCGTGTTAGATCGCCACGTGAATGCCACGGACGTATCTGACGATCTCGATCGTGTTGGATCACTCTCTAACGCAGCGTCATGAAAGACAGAGGCTAAATTACTGCGGTCCGTTAGTTTGGATCGCGGAACGCTTATGTGAACTCACACAATCGACATGACACATACACATACATCTAGACAAACGCATTATTCGATCTCTCACATCTCACATATATCAAGATTTTGTCTGGAAAGCATACTGGATGACACGTAATAAATATGTCAAATATGTATATGTCAACTTTATTTATAAATTCATTACTCTGTAATTGTGTTTTTTTTTTTATTTTCAATAATTGTTTAAATGTTTAATCGACAACGACCGACAGCATCCAAAAATGGAGCGTTTCTAAAACGCGAAAATTTCCAGGACACCATATATCCGACTGTACAAACACCGACTATTTTACCAATCCATTCCGCGAATGTCACTTTGATTGACACGTGCACGCGGCCGCAGATTTAATGCCGCGCGATCCGCGCGCGCGCGGCATGAAAGGCTCCCAAAAAATGCATCCTTTAATCGCGGCATGCAATCTTGCGGGAGATTACACGGCGCGACGTGAGATATTATTATATACAATGTGGCCGCGATTGCGAAGGGAATGCCGTGGCGGATGTAAATTAGCCTCATTCCTCGCGAAATTAATTCCGAGGCCGTGGCAATTGAACGCCGCCGATTTGACACGGGTGAAAAATTTTAGATTGACTCCCTCCCCCCTCTCCCCTCCCCCGTAATTCGCGCTCGAACGAGCTCCGCCGTTTTGAGTCTCGAAAAGGCAGCTTCAAGAAGCGATGAGCGATCGGCAGACACGGTCCACGTTCGGGACGCACTCGCACGAGAGATCTTGCTTATACGGCCTCTATTATAAACCACCGATGCTAATTGCTATTACAGCGAGGCGTTGCATAAGCGCAATTATCGCACGAGCGATGCCGTTCTCGGAGGATTGCACATGCGCACGCGATCTTTCATAGTTCGGCTATGTAAGGTCTACGAACTCCTGCACCAGCCGTTTGTTCGTGTCATCTTGAAACACTATAGAATTATTAATTGCGGCGGATACATATGTCATGATAAATGGTTGACATATATCCTCCACAAGTTGAATAATAACGGTATACGTATAAATGAAAATAAAATATTATTAATATCCATGGCATAAAAGGAAACGTTTATTATTATCTTATCAGCCATTATTTTGTCAATCATTGATTTCTGTTTGCTGACACTTAACTAAACTTTGATTTCCATACATAATTGCTTGTAGATAACTAATTTTAAGTGATATTCTGACACGTGAGATGATATGAAAATAGATCGATAGATGATAAGATAATGATGGTATTTTAGACTAACAAGAAAATTTTTAATAAGAAGTGCAGCCTTATTTACACCAATCGCGTGGGTTGGCTTGTCATTCTAATTAGGCTTGTCGGATCGGCGGAGCGGAGCGATCCCGATACAATTGTCTAGAGACAAATATCCGAGACTAATCGAACTATGTCATCGATTGATGCGACGCATTTGCGAATGTAAACGATCTGTACGATCTAGTTCTTCAAGGATACAAGTGTTCAGCAACACGGCGATAATGTACGCCTATTAATTTCTGTACAATGGCACGATAAAATACGCGTTAGACAACGTTATATATTTACTTTGATAGAACGAAATAATGCAATAAGTATATTTCAACAAAAAAGCCATTTCATTATTTTTTTAATTTTCGAAATTATTATTTAAAAAGCTGTTTCATTATTTTTTTAATTCTCGAAATTATTATTAAATATATACATGCATTTCGCAACTATTATCATTTAAAATCACGAAAACGATGTTTTTATTCCTCTAATTTAAAAATGAAAAGATTGGTGTTTCTAATTATATTTTATGTTGAAATCATTTGATTTTGTGACATCTCTAATAAGAAATTGCGCTTTTTGTTTCAGGGCGCGCGGTTCCGAGACACCTCGCAACAAATTCATAAACAATGGCAAGCCGATCCAGCGAGGGCATTTCCGACTGTCGGCAGTGTCACCACAAATTCGCCCTCTCCAGCATCAGGAGAACTCTCCACGTCAAATTCGACTCCCAGCCCTAGTCCTAGTCCGACTAATCAGCAAGTCACGGTGAGTATCTATTGTTAATCAAATTGAATTACACGCGATACAGTCTACAAGCTGTTGTAATTTAGTCTTAAATTTAAACACAATAGTTCAATTTTAAAGAGGACCAGATAATATATTTCTTCTTAATAATGCGCATTTAATATTAATATTAATAATATAATATAATATTAATAATAATATTAATAATAATATTTATAATATTTTTTGCTTGAATTATTAAAAAAATCATTTATTAATTTCCAGACAGCACGACATTCTATGGACGTTCATTTCATATACATGAAAACATGCGAACATAAAATGAACGTTCATAGAATGTCCTGTGCTGTCTGGATTAATAGTGACATTTAAAAAAAATTAAATTTACATAATTATTATCACAAAAAACAATGTGTGCTCTTACGTGATCTCGCAACTCTATTCCATGTCCTACGAAAAAGAAATAATTTCTTCTGACACAGCGTCGCGCAAAATGTTGAGCTGTCGTTGTTTGTCGTGCGCGCGGCGAGATCTAGACTGGTGACATTTTCCTCGAAAGGCCAATAAAGTTTTATCTTGCTTGTATGCGAAATGCGATGTGAAGCGCCGATATATCTTTTCGCGGAGCAAATCCCGTGCAAGCGCAGACGTCGCATAAGTGCAGTGAGAGAGCTCAGACTTGAAATTCTCCGGGGTATATCAACCACTATTTGAGATTCCGTCGTCCATGTAGGTCAGGGGTTGAGGCATCGTCGAGCTCTCGCAGAGCGCCGATATAGACATGCATATACGCGAGCACCCGTCCACGCGCATTGTGCATGCATTCAATGTCACAAACGATTTCTGCATCGATTTCGGCCAGCAATAATGCCCGGGAATTGCATTTGATATATTTTTGGCTACAAATTTACGTTTTCATAAAAGATACTATTCTCGATGCTCCGACATAGAATTAAATTTCCTAAAGTATACCCGCACAATTTCTTCCGGCAACGTTCAATCTAGCAAAATATATTTATTTTGCAACTGTACGAATTCACATAGCTTTCAAATGCGAAATTAATACGCATCGGCGAATGCAAATGGATATTTTATTCGAAGCCAATACTACCGAAAAAGCTCTCAAAGAGACTTGGAAAAACGACGGACGAATCCAAAGTTTTAGGTATATCGAGTTTATACCCTTTTAATAGATCATGCATCAATTCTACGTCATGACAGCGACATTTGCGTCACTAGAGAAAGTTATGTACGTGTAAAGGCGCATACAAACTTACGCACGGCATTATTCTCGCGAGACTATCGGTATGCAAGCCATATATCCAATTGAACAGTCGACGAGGGTGGTCATCCCCGATGCCATTGTACTCGCGCTGGTGTCGCTCTGCGGGGTCCGATTCTGGGTCACCGTGGCTTAATGAGAAACTATCGGGCTTATATATACGCGACCACCGCGACGTACTCGTTATGCAAAACTCGCGCACAAATTGAATTCCTCCTGGCGACACGAGTTTGTCTTTTATGGAATTAATTCCCGCCCGGCGAAGAGAATGTTTGACGTGATGTTCGGGGATTAAGGCCGTCCCGTCCATGCGACTGGCAGATGAAGATCTCTTCCTGGTCATGCTGTTGTAGAAAGACAGGCCGAGACAGTGAATACGTAATTGCGAAATTAGCGCCGGCATTTGTTACGGAGAAATGGGATTAGAATTTATATTTCCGGGATAACCTGATTTCTATTTTTTCGAGACTCCCGTGATTCTGCATTCGTCATATCCTCATCGCGGAGATAAAACAAAGGCAAAAATATGATGAGAAACGATTAATGAAGAATAAAGCGCGAATATACATGCTCTTACAAAATTAAATGATGACTGTTTCTAAAAATGTGAGTGTTATTTGTGTCAGAGGGAATTTCTAACAATTCTACTTAATAAGATTCTCAGACACTCATCAGAATTTTAATTGAAACAACCGCATTGATTGCTAAATAATCTTCACATTTCTTACAATACCGCAAATGAAATAGCAACCGCAAACAATGCATCGTAGCAACTTACGATGGCCTATTAACGTAGTTGCAATTGCGGTGATACCGCACGTAACTATGCACACATATTTATACCATCGTCATGCTTGGAGACACAACACGCCGCAGAAATATCAAAATGCCCGTCGGTTGAATGATAAGTCAGAATTCCAAGAAGCTCATTTTTGCACAATTTTAACAAATAAAGTCGTTACGTTAATATTGTTTACGCAATATTTTAAGCTAATCTTGTTTTTACCCGCTCGATTTCATCGTGAGTTTATCTTCGGCGAGAGGTTACTTCTGATATACCGATTAAAATTGGTACGGTGACATCAACGATTTGTACATTACTCAGAAAACCACGATGATCCCATTTTTTGTACGACCTAATTACGTAATTATGATCATGGATCACGCGCTATCGCGGTCAGCAGACTTCAAGCGGATATAATGTGTTATGATATATTACATCTCTGATAAAAGAGAATGCAGATAAAACAAGAAATATTTTTAATTCCTCATAGGAATATTTCAATGACACGAAAGTATGAGATAGTAAGAAAATCCATAAAAATTTTTAATCAAAATACTGAAAAATTTTGTATGGAAATATTGAGAGAAGCATAAACTTCTTAGAGAGTATCTAATATTCGATACTTTAAATTCGAATATTATTTTTGGACCAAGAATTTTTCATTGAATTTATCTGTAATGTTTAAATAATAAATTATTCGCGTACATAAACATTTTGAGCTTTATTATGTTTTAACGTAATATTAATATATTTAAAGACAGGAATTTCCATTTATGTCATTAAAATGTAACATACGATCAAATTTTGCAGCGCAAATTATCAAGCGCAACTTAATTGTGCGTGCGATTGCAGTCTGATATCGTTAACATGTTAGCGTCGATTAAAAGCACAGGCACATCGATATCGACCTCCTCGGGAAATTCCTCGTTTACGTAATAGAAATTCGAGACAGAAAATAACTTTTAAAAAAAACCGCTTATTTTAACGGACGACATACTAAATAGGACAATCTTTTAACGGTAATGATAATGATTTATAATATCCTAATACGATACGCAGTTATACAGGAACAGGAACCAAAATTACTATTATTAAATAGTAATTGTTGTTAAAATCTGGAGTACGGAAAGCGAGGATAAGCAAATTCAGCCGCGAAAGTAGAGATAAATTAGAGATAAATTAGATCTCGTATAGAGATAAATTTTATTAATAAACATAATGTCTAGTTAGATGAAGGTTATTTGATAATGCAATGTTTTTTCATGAGACCAAACTACCATGACTATTGCTATTACCGCTAATTAATGTCATATCATTACGTCAAGCGGATCTGCGGATATGCGGATATTTATATACACCCAACATCAATTAACAAAGTTGCTTATTGTTACGCTGACTTCATTGAGCGTCATATAACTTTGTTAACACTGTATATCGAGTTTTTCTCATTTATTAAAGTTTTTTCATTTCTTGTCCAAACTGAAGTCATCGAAGTAATAGAACAAATAGTAAGCGTTCTTTTCCGAAGCAGCGCAAACTTATTCTAAACCGTCCTTAACAATTCGCCGAGGTTCTAATCTAATGCATATTACTTCCACTGCGTGGAAACGCACGAATGTATTATCGCACAGGGCTACTATAAATAGCATTACCATATATCCCATGCACACGTAATTTAGCAGACGTCATAATCGCGGGCGCGTAATGATTACACCGTGGCTGATAGCGCGAGTCGCCCCTCGTTGAAAGTCAGAGAGACCAGACCCCTCGAGCAGATTACCCGCTCTATGCAAAGAGAAGTCACTAACCCGCTCACAAATAAGCCGCCTTAGGTAAGACTCCGTATCGGTCATCGTAGGACTTCCCACTATGACGATAGTGTCGTATAATCGTGATTAATTCGCGCTTTTTGCACGGAGATATTCGCCGCAGCGAGTTAATTAGCGCCGCCGGGGGAGGCGAGAAACGGCGAGTGCGAATCTTCCGATAATTAACGTCTCAATCGGATCTGATTGCAATTACTGGGACCGAATAAGTCGTATCGAGCGTACGATGTAACGTCGCGATAACTACAACGAGCTCTCGTGCTGCGCTCATAAAAGAGTCACCGGCTCTCGCCGGAATAATGGAACGATTTTAACACCGGTCGGGGACTGGCTAGGATTGGCTCGCTCGCGACCAGCGTCGATGTTTACCACCGGATATTTAAATTCGCCGTTGTTGTGAGTTATATCCTTTCACAACATCGCCGGAAGTTATTTCGCGTCGCAGAAATATATGACGATGATAAAATTTTTCAGAGAAATTGTAACTTGGAAACTCCTACTGGAAATTGAATTGGTAACCGTCCAATGTATGCTGTAATTAAAATGTCATTATTAAATTTACGAGAGCGTAATATAAAAGATACGTAAAAATCCGTTTTATTCGTGTACCTCGGTATCGTAATAATTTAATATAAACAATATCAAGAGGGAAATAACGACGAAATAACTCGGGTCAATAGTTTTTGCTCTTCAACGATGCGAATATTAAATTTCTTGGCGATTAATCTCGCTTCTTACACATAGCTCAATAATAATAAAAAAATTCCCGTCTGCTTTAACTAAAGTTTTATTAAGGCTACTACCGCTTCTCGTACTCGCTCCTTACGGCACGTATACCCGCCAAAAGGGTTTAAGGTTAAGAGGGTCGGCCGTTTAAGAAAAAAGAAAAGGAGATGCAGCGGATCCTTGAGAATCCTGCAGCTGCTAGTCATCATTGGCACAAGAAATTGTACGCGTGTTCCATGTCTAACCGTTTCGACGAAAGGTCGGGAAATAAGATCGCAGGTCGTTAGAACGTTGACAGGATACAACAATTCGTAATGACGTAGCTGGATACGCGATTGCTCGTTATCTTTCGATGATTTTTGTTATCTATTTTGTATTTTTTTTACCATGACACGGCATTTTT